TGTTTGCCTCTGGTAGAACCTGACAATACCCAGAGTGACACTTAGAAAGATCGACGCAGACTGATGAAGACAGCCTGCGAGGATCTGTGTGTGTCTGTGTGTCTGTGTGTGTGTCTGTGTGTGCGTCTGTGTGTGCGTCTGTGTGTGTCTGTGTGTGTCTGTGTGTCTGTGTGTGTGTCTGTGTGTGTGTGTGTCTGTGTGTCTGTGTGTTTGTGTGTCTGTGTGTATATGTCTGTGTGTCTGTGTGTATATGTCTGTGTGTCTGTCTGTGTGTCTGTCTGTCTGTGTGTGTGTCTGTGTGTGTGTGTGTGTGTGTTTGTGTGTCTGTGTGTATATGTCTGTCTGTGTGTGTGTGTGTTTGTGTGTCTGTCTGTGTGTCTGTGTGTTTGTGTGTCTGTGTGTATATGTCTGTCTGTGTGTCTGTGTGTGTGTCTGTGTGTCTGTGTGTGTCTGTGTGTGTGTGTGTGTTTGTGTGTCTGTATGTCTGTCTGTGTGTGTGTTTGTGTGTCTGTGGATTATGTCAGATAATCCAGAACCACTTTCTTCCACACGGATCGTTCTTTGGAGGATCTGTTGAACTCACCGTATCCTGTTGTCTCTGTTATTCACACTGGTTCATTGCAACATTGTAATGTCGTAATAAACCTGCCAACTGTTCAACATTCAGTTCTCTCAAATTTATTTTACTCCTCTCAAATCTAGTCTGTAAGCCTAGCCTAGCTATACTGAGTAGGTGTTACATATACATGAGAATCTGTGTGTTTGTAAAAATTACTGACGCACATTTTTTTGTTAAGGTGTGTGTGTGAAACTGTGCGCTCATGTCGCCCTCGCTGTGTGTCAGTTCCAATTTGAAAGTACAAATTCTGACCCGATTTTTCTTCCTTTCACCTGATAGGTCAGTGTCATGTCAATCACAAATGTAACAATCCAATCAGAGAACAGATGGTTTGGCTGCAGCGCTTCACTTCAGGTCCTGGAAGGGTAATAGAGTTTAAAGCTGGATGAGTAGACACAAAAACAATCGTGTCTAAGACTGCGTCAGGTGTGAATGCGAGGGAGTAAAGATGTGGGTGGAGTTCCCACACAAGCTTCGGTGTGAGCTCTGTGTCAGCGCGCCATCGTCATATAGTCAGCCTTCAGGTACACCAAGAACTCAGCGGGTAAAATGAGAGCTGAGCGCCGTTTTCCCATCATTACTAGTCAATAAATGTATTGATCCATAGCAGTGTTTACACCACGATGAAGCTCAGGCTGACTGAAGGACCGCCCTGCTGTGTGACCACAGAGACGCTGCTGCATTGCTTGCTAACAGCAAACATTCTGATTCTACTTTTGAGCCAGGTGGCGTCCAGGTGCTGTCCCTTTGAAAGAGCCAGGAGCCTTAGTTTCCACCTCCTCCATGTAAAGGTTGGCTCCAAGCGGCCACACCGGGGGGCCCACGGCACACCCGTCTGTTTGTGACTGCCCTGGTTGTATTTAAATATGGAGGTAAGGTGGTGTAACAGTGTGCAGGTGTGATCGGGGTGAAGCTTCTGTTTTCTAAGCAGGGGTCTTGTTGTGGTCGCTCTCTGACCGTCTCCACTGCCTCAGCATGCAAGCGTCAGACCACAGCACTGTGGTTTCATCTGGATCCAGGCGGAGTCTCTGGGCCGGTGAAGTGGGTGGAGTTTTTGATGTGGTGGGTGTGGTGCCCACGATTTTGGCTGAGTGTGAGTGGGACTGTGTGTTTGACGCTGCTGTGTGTTTGAGCTGTTTGGGGAAATGCACTGAGCTGTAGTTTGTCACTGTGACCACTAGAAGGCGCCACATGACAGCCACAGACTCCAGATTGAAGTTCACACAGACAAAGAAAGCACATCAGCTGTGTGCTGCGCAGCAGATGTTCGCACGTCTGCAGTTGGAGAAGGTGGAGTCGATCATATCGAGGAGGTTTGGCACAGATGAACTCCTGATTCTGTTTTTCTACAACTAATCACGCTGAAGCTGAATAAAGCAGCAGAGTCGGGTCTGTCGGTGTACCTGCTGCCTGCTTGTGCCCGGTTTGAGGAAAATGAAGCCCAGCCAGAAGAGAAATGAATCATCAGAGCGACTGCTGAGATTCTGCCGAGTGTTTCTGCTGATGACCTTCAAGGAGTAACTGCGACCCGCCCACCTGTGCCACGCCCTCCAGGCCAACTGTGAGTGCTAAGAGACCCGAACCCAGGTTTAACCAGAAGACCTATCAGAGGTGGAGAGTAGGGATGGGTATCGTTTAGGTTTTATCCGATACCAGTACCAAACCGGTACTTTTGAAACGGTGCCGGTGCTCAAACGGTGCTTAAAGAATGGAGAACACAAAATTGGTCCAAAAACCTCTCATGTTCAGCTGGTTTTTTGTAAAATTTTTTGTAAAAAGATAACAATGTGTGCCTTTTCTGCAGCTATGGGGCATATATGGTATCACTCTTGGCTGGAAGCAGTGCTTAAACAATGGAAAAAACACAAACTTTATCCAAAACCTCTCATGTTTAACTGTTTCCCACTTTTTCTTTGGTCATTTTAACCTTTTTGTCCAGGGTGAAGGGAGTATCTGCCATCAAACAAGAAGACAGCCGCATGTAGCTACGATGGTGTTTGCTAGTTCACCTTACATGCATTAATGTAATAACGTGGTTAGCCTACTCAACTAAATTACACACGAACAACATTAAGCTACTCACGCAGAGAAGAACGGCTGCTGCTGCATCATCATCTTCATCATTTCTGCTACACTGGCAGGGCTAGGGGCCAGGACTCTCCTCTTCGGGTTTTTGGGGGATGTTGCTAACTCCGGGTCGATAACAGGCACCACACCCGCAGTAGATGTGCTCGGTGTGAGGTCTCGCAGCAAGCTATCAAATACGGCGCATTTCTCGGCTTTTAACAAAACGCTATGCGTCGCCAGGTGTTTCCTCAGATTCGAGGTTTGAAGTTCGCCTTGGGCATTTTTAATCTGTAGCTCTGCTCTAAAAGAACGGACGTACCTGGACCCGCCTACTATCCTGGGAAACGTAAAATGATTGGCTAGAATCCAAAGTGTATGACATCTCAGGAAAAAAAAGCACCGAAATGTGCGCTGCTTTTCAGTCTGGTTACTACCGTTTATGTCAGAATGGCACCGGACACCGGTACCCATCCCTAGTGGAGAGTCGTTCTACTGTGAGGACTCAGAGATCTCATGCAGAGTCAAGAACACACATTTAATCAGCTGGTGTTGGCTTACTTCAGAAATCAGAGTTTGTCACATGGATGGAAACCTGCTGGATCCCAGCTGATGGTGTGAGCAGATCGTGTGAGCAGACCTGGTACATGTTGTGTTAAGTTTCTGTGTGTAGCACTGCTTTCACACAACAACACAAACTGAGCGTGCTCTCCTCCTGCCTGGTGTTTGGTACTCAGAGGCTAATACTGGCAACAGGAAGCCTGCACAGAGGGTCACTGACCCGCCAAAACATCACCGGCTGCCCTCTGACACCCCTAGAGGTCATTGCCAGATCCTCCTGTCTCAGGTAAGCCAGGCACCCTGTCCACCACCTGTCTGACCCGCTGCCCTCAGGTCAGTCAGGTCACTCACACACAGACTCAGACCTTTGTACACCTCCTTCACTTTGTTCTCCCATGAGTGCCTTTCTGTTGTTTTAGATGTATTTCTCCTGTCTGTCCTTTATTCTGCCGTCTCATTATTTATATTTAATTCCTGCACAGTTGCCGTGGAGCACCCATCATTTTGTTGTACGTGTCCAATGACACCACACTCACCTGCCTCCATTACTAAATCAAGGACCAGTCCGTTTGTATCCGTCACGTTCAGGATCCACCGTGGATTCCTCCGTGTCGATCCGCAGCTCGGCTGTTTTGTGGGAGCTGCTGGTTTGAACACCTGAAACATCATTCAGCCAAACACCTGCTGGGAGGATCAGAGCCTTCAAAGAATTACACCTGAAACTCTACAAACCCTAACCCTGAACAGGTCACATACAGCATCCGTTACAGATGAAAACATCTGTAGCTAAAAACACAGAAACCCTCCCACACCACAGACAATCTGAGCGTTTTAAACACAAAACCTTAAAAAGTCCCTGTGTTGCTTCTGCTGCTGGGATAAAGACAAAGGCTGGAAACACACTGACGGAGTCACAGAGATGAGTCTGCTTCATGGCGACTGCACCCACCAATAACTGTCAAACTCGACTCCACAAGGCCCAGAGACAGGAAGATGAAGATGAAGAGGAGATGCAGCAGGACGAGGGTGGAGAAGGAAGAACCACAAAGTAAAAGCAGATAAACTCTCCCTGCATCACCAAGATGATGGTGGGGACAGTGAAGCCTCCATGAAAGTGTCCTGATGGTTCACGTTTACTCTGCAGCTTTGGTTACGATGCACAGCCTGATTCCTCTGATGTTAGTAACATTTCTCAGTCAATGCTCTGCTCTTTAGTACATCTGTATTTTGAAATGCCGCAGCCTGTGTAGTTTTCCTTGGCAGTAATGTTTCATTGTTCCTGCCAGCAGGTCAGCTAGATCCTCACCGATGCTGGATCCTGTGAAAAAGAAAGCAGCCAATGAGAGAGGTTTGACTTTCTGCTGAAAACAGGCTGAAGCATGAAACATGCTGATGAGACGATGGGCAGGTTCTACGTCTACTGTTGCTCTATGTGTCCTGTGTAAAGCTGGGACAGCATCAACAACAGAGGAAAAACGTAACCGAGTGCATTCAGTTTGAATATGGAAGAAAATGCAGTGTTTTCTAATAATATGAAGTAAATGGTAAATGGTCTGTATTTGTATATCGCTTTACGTAGTCCCTATGGACCCCAAAGTGCTTTACACTGCATGCACCCATTCACACACACATTCACACACTGGTGATGGCAGCTACATTGTAGCCACAGCCGCCCTGGGGCGCACTGACAGAGGCGAGGCTGCCGGACACTGGCGTCGTGCTAAAATATAAACCCAATCATTTCTTACAACTTAGACATAAACAAAAGTTAATGTGATTGAAAAAACAAATCATCTTTGTTTAGCCCCCCAAACTAATCACAACTTTTCCTGAAGTAAAATTAGTTACAGATTTAAAAAGCAAACAGGCTCAAGTATTCTTACTGTTTAAAAAAGACAATGATGGATAAAAATGCTGTGTCACAAGAACAGCAATCAGTACTGGTCCCAGCACAGAACCCTGAGGCACTCCAGCACTAATCTAATCAAAAACAGGAATCTATCAAACGGATTTGATTTATTATCAAACCATTGATCAATAGTTCTTGACACATGTTGTAGGAACCGGGGTCTAAATGGGGGTTGGTGGTTTGGCTCTGAGACGCATCAGAGAGCAGCTTGGGTTGGTATCCTGCTCAGGGATATTTGGCATGCAGACTGGAGCAGCCGGGGATTGAACCACCAACCTTCCGATTAGGAGACCCACTCTTAACACAGCTGTGATTACCTGCGGCCAGGTAATCACAGACTGCCATGAAACCAACAGAAACCAACAGAAGTCACTAACAGCCCGCCGTCCACAAAGGCGTGGTTTATGTGTCTGATTCATATTTATGGCCTGCAGCAACTTCCTGTCAGGAAAGAGCAGAGTGTTGAAACACCGACTCTGGCAGCACTGTTGGACAGTTAGCTTTGAGGTGTAAGCCTGGCCCCTCTCTGGGTTTGAGGCTGGGCAGATTCGAATGTGGTGTAATTTAAAGACACAGAACATGTATGTGTGGTGTTGTTTAGTTAGAGGTGAGTAAAATGTGTGTCTGGCTCATAAACGGTGTTTCCTGAGCAGAGGTGTGAACTTTGAGCTCTCCGTGCTGAGGTCTGTCACCTGCTGTTGCGTGACGGAGGACAGCGATGACGGAGCACCTTCTGAAAATTCTCATTGTCGGTGATGGAAACGTCGGCAAGTCTTCCTTTGTTCATCGCTACGTCAGCGGACAGTTCAACAAGACCTACAAGATGACGGTGGGAGGTAGGGCTGCTTTACTCTTTTGAGTCTTTGAAACATTGGCAGGGTCTGCGTGGTGTGTTTGGGTGCCCTGAGACTTTGCATGGTCATCAGAAAACTTCAGAAGTCATGTTAGAAATAGCAGGCACTAACCTGAAACTGGTTTTTATATCGTAGAGGAGCAGACTGATGTTCATGTAAAATCTGAAGACAGATGGAATATAAAAGTGGATCCACCACTTTGGTCCTGACTGAGAAAACAAAACCATCAGACTGTCGCACAGCTCCTGCTTTGGGCTCATGTTACACCAGATCATGACTTAATCTGGACTGTAAAAGATCTTAACGTTTATCTGTCCCACCACAATTGTCTCGTTCCCTTCACCTCTTCCTGAATTAGAAATTTTTCAGAGAAGTCGTGTTATTCAAGGAAATTTGCTTACTGTGGGAGTTCCCTTTAAACCGTTCCTCAAGGGACCTTATATTTATTATACACACACAAAGTGGGTTTTTAATTTAATTAATTTCAACTTATATATGTCTCCCAAACTGGAAGCTGGTTCCACAGAAGAGGGGCCTGAAAACTGAAGGCTCTGCCTCCCATTCTACTTTTAAATACTCTAGGAACAACAAGTAGGCCTACAGAGCGAGAGCCAAGTGCTCTAATAGGGTGATATGGTACTACAAGGTCATTAAGATAAGATGGGGCCTGATTATTTAAGACCTCGTATGTGAGGAGCAGGATTTTGAATTCTGGATTTAACAGGAAGCCAAAACAGGAGAAATCTGCTCTCTCTTTGTTGAAGGAGCTCTGTAACTTGTCCTCTAGCACCACTGTCAGGTCAAAATGTATTTTTCATCTCAGGACCTCGGCTGTTTTTAACTTTATGATCTAAAACTTTGTTTCTTACACAAATAGCTGGAGTTGATTTTCAGACTTTGTCCTTTGGTTTGCTTTGACTGGTGACTTCAGTCCGCCGGTCTCTACAGCTACATTTGAACCCATCACATCAGGAGCGCTCCTCCTTTTAAACCAAAGCTCCAGGAAATAATGAGGTTCACAGTCTCTCTGCACGAGTTGAATCAAATGAAGAGGAGATCACTGATTATTTCACAGCCTTCAATCTGTTTGCACGATTAGAAACTGGGGATTAGTCACTTGATTCAGACCCCAGGTGTACAAAATACTGAATGAATAATTACAGGATGAGACACGTTGTTAATTTCAATGTTTATACATACCTGGAAGCAACTGAGAATGAGTGCAGGTTCAGCTGGACGAAACCAGCTCTCACTTCTTTGCGCTTAATGAATAATTTCACAGAGGTTTCACTTCAGAAGAAGCAAAGTGAAACTTTGAGTTTATTTTCCTATTTTCCTGTGTAGATGTGCCTTCAGTGGCGTTTCATTTCTCTCTTGCTGCGTCTCTAAAACAGACTGTTTCCTTCTGCAGTGGATTTCTCCGTTAAGCTGCTGCACTGGTCGGATAAAGAGAAAGTTCGACTGCAACTCTGGGACATCGCAGGTACAAAGAAAGTTTGGCTTCAGCTTTTTTAGCCTTAGTGGGTCAGCTGATGCTAAGACTGGTTAAATGACATAAAACAAAAACTCGACTTGAGAAAAAGATTAAAACCAGCAGACATGACACGGTGTGCAGGTAGAACAACAGCAAACGTTTGAAGTTTGAGTCAGTGTGCTCTACAAGCTTCTGGAGGCTTTGGTGCACCTGTTTAGAAACTGCTTTGTCTACCTGACATAAAGGGCTGTGTTTGAACTGAACATCTTCAATCTGTTTAACAACAATACACTCAAACAAATAATGAAACAAAAAAACTAAACTGAACATTTTCAGACAGGAAGAAAACTGAAAGCAATTAAAAATAGTTCAAAATAAAATAAAAATTAAATTCAAAATATCTAACGCCTCTGCATTATTGACTGGGTTATGGATGGATGGATGCATTGGTGACACACTGACCTTTGCCTTGTCTCTTCAGGCCAAGAGCGTTTCATATCCATGACCAGGATCTACTATAAAGGGGCGCTGGGCTGTGTGGTGATGTTTGATGTCACCAGTTCCTCCAGTTTCTCCAGCTGTCGCCACTGGAAAGAGGACCTGGACAATAAGGCCATGCTGCCCAACGGAGACTCCATCCCCTGCATCCTAGTTGCTAACAAGGTGATTGAGTGCATCCAGCTAATGAAGGATCCACCAGGAAGCTTTGAGGTTCAGGCTAATGAGCACAGGCTGCTAACATGCAGTGAGTCACCTGACTATAAACTCAGTCTTTCTGCTTCGGTCTGTTTGCAGTGCGACCTCGCTCACAGGGCTGTCTCTGCAGACACCATCGACAAGTTCAGCAAAGCCCACGGCTTCATTACATGGATGGAGACTTCAGTCAAAGACAACAAGAACGTTGGAGAAGCCACGAGGTAGGAAGAGAACATCAGAGGCAGAGCTCAGAGAATTCATTTTTAGGAATTTAGAGTTAAACCTGGACCAATCCAGTAGAATCCCACATCTCAGTTTTGTGTTATGTGCAGTTTTATTCAATAAAATGTAACATGCAAGAAGGAAATTAGCTTATGTTAGCACCTGCTGAAGCTGGAATCAACCTGAAGAGTCAGGCTACGTTCACTCTGCAGGTCTTAATGCTCAATTCAGATTTTTTGATCAAATCTGATTTTTTTGTCTGCTTGTTCACACTACAAATAAAATGCGACAGCAAACGCGCTCTAGTGTGAACGCTCAAAGCGGCCGCATGCGCAAAAGAAGACGTTACACACAGCGCGCTCTGTTTAGACCCAGAGCAACAGTATGTTTGACTGATGACCTTAATATAAAGACTTCGGACCTCATGTTTCCCAATTTTTGCTTTAAGTTATTTTGTTATTTACATAATAATGTAAATAACCTAATAATGATCCTTATTGCTGTTTTAGAGGATAGCTGCAGATTTCTGTCAGAATCTGCAGGTTATACAGTACAAATAAAATGTTTACGTTGTCTTCCCAACAGTTTCACTGGATGGACAGGAAGCGTTCGCGATGTCTTCTCCGGCGCTGATAATTGGCGTCTGTCTTGTGTCAGTGACGTAAAAGACGGATTTAATGCGACGTGACCATCAAACAGCAGTCGCTCTCTAAAACATTAGATATGTATCGGATTCAGGACCACATACGAAAGTGACCCAGGTCGGATTTGGAAATATCGGATTTGTCACACCATGATCGGATATGGGTCGCGTAGGGTCAAAAAAATCGGATTTGATGCGCTTTCGCCTGCAGTGTGAACGTAGCCATGTCTGTAGCTCCTCTGAGGTCCTCCTCCTCAATAACACCTGTGGGGGAGGGGGCGTTTCTATAACTCACCAGTTTGTATTATTAGGGGCGTGGCCTCTTTCACTGACACAGCCAGCTGTAACTGCTAGCTGTCTGCTAGCTTTTAAATAGCTAACAACTTCATATTTGCTTCCCTGGTTTAAATGGAACGACGGCTTTATTCTTTAAAGATGATGCTCTGAATGTTGGAGGGACGTCCTGCAACAGCTTGTTTTCTCCGATCATTGAAATTACTGAAGCTCAGAGCGAGCAGCTCAAAGAGTTTCTGACCAGGTCATCGTCTCGCAGGTTTTGGTGGTTTTGGCTGGAAACAGCTGAGATGTTTTTGAACATTATCGAGGTATCCAGGCCGTCTTTCCTTTGACACAAAGATCTAAGATCTAAAGCAAGAGAGAAAAAGAGTATTAAACAGAAAATTCAATCTGATCAATCAGGAAAACACATAATTAAAGCTGTGAAATCTGTGGCGTTTCAGGATGCTGGTGCAGGAGATTCTGTCGGTTCAGTCCACTATGGACCCGATTCACAGACCTGAAGTCCGAGTTTATCCTCACCCGGACTCAGAGTTCAACAGAAGCTCAGGAGGAGAACGAGGCTGCTGCTGAAACCACGAGCATCACTCGGAGCACAGCAGGAAGTACTCTTCATGTGCACGTGAAGTGTAGGACTGTGAACTGTCTCGGAGCTGATTCTGGCTCTCCCACCTCTAATAGTTTCATTTTGAGCTAAAGGTGTAAATTAAACCAAGTTCAAATAAAGATCCTTCTCGCCTAAAGCGAGAAGCAACACTAAGGACAAACACAGGTATATGTTTCACTGCTGTGATCAGAAACAGGTGAGACACGTTAAAGGTCCGATGACGTGACGCCGAGTGGGGAGCACAGGAAAGGTGCTGGAGACAATGGTGAACAGGAAAAGCTTTTCAAACACACAGCACATGACCTTAGCGTGTTTAGCGGTTTGTACGCTGCACCCTGATGAGAACAAACCAGCCTCACACAGCAGAAACACAGTCGAGGCTTCTGCCACAACTTCACCTACATCCAAGGTGCCCAGAGAAGGAAACTAAGAGATTGAAGCTCCAGAAACACTCACATACATTCATATTAAACACCTTCGTCAATTAACTTAATTCATTTCACCTTCGTCAGTCCTGATCCACATGAGTTTGAGAGTCCTGGGTGGGGACCCAAACCTGATCTTTGACTAAACCTCTGGAGAGTAAAAGAAGTCGAAGAAAAGAAGTGAAATGATGATGACATACTAAATAATGAATGACACACACCTCCAGCCTCCAGCAGAGGCACACGAGCTAACAAAAGAAAAGGTCTGGTTCAAACCTTTTAAACTGAAAAGGTTAAATTCGTGTTTGGGAATCAGCAGATGTGCCACCCAGGTAAGCAATGCGAAGCAGAGGCTGAACACGGAAAGGTGGCGTTCAGCGTAGGCGTGGGGACCAGAAGGAACACATGGAAGGCGAGTGTATCGTGAGAGAACGAGGTGCAGAGCGTGCTCGGTGCAGCCGTCCATCATCTCCCATCACGCTGAGTCGTCCCGACACGTGGCGTCCCCGTGCTGGCGGCGAGGCATGTGTGAGTGGGTGCTGCACAGCATCAGTGGGACATGCACGGGAGCTCCGTCCTGCTGCGAGAAATTCTGCTTTGAATTTTTACACTTTTACTCTTGCTGACAGTTTTTAGCTTCTTTTATTTTTCAGGTTGTCGCCTTGTTTCATTTCCTGTTTTACTCTGGCAGTTACCTTCCCTCTGCGTTTCAGTTTGTTTACTTCCTGCCTCTGTCTGTTTCCCTCCTGTGTTTCCCTTCTGTTTCTCAGTGCCTCAGGTTGATTCCTTTGAGCTTATTTGGACTTTCTGGGGGTTTCCAGGATAACCAGCATGCTTTGTGTATTTCCTTTTGCCTGACCTGATGTCATCTGCATTTGTATCCAGTTGTAGCACAGAAACATTTTTCAAAGAAGGCCTTCGGACTGTTTTTCTAGATCTGATTAATAAACATGCTAAAAAGTCAAATACCATCTTATGATTACCCAACTAAGTAAAGTAAAGATAATCAGGCTTATCCTCCCAGGGTGTCATTTGTTTCAGTGAGAGCCAGAGAAACCTGAGAAATTCTTAGCTTGGATTTGGAGCAGGTTCATAAAATGGTCATATTAAGCTTTGGTAAAATTACTTTAATCCCCCAAACAATTGCAGTGAGTAATATCAGGAAACCACAGCCACGTGATCAATAAACTACTTCAGCTTCAAAGAGACCCTCACCACCTCACGCTGTTTTAGTCCATCTGAATTTATGCATAAAGTCAATGTAAATTTCCCAGATGAACATTGATAACATCTGAATTCATGCAGGTTAAAGTATTTCAACTTTAAGCTACTGCAAAAAATGTCCCATCAGCTGCAGGACAACCTAACTGACTCCATCGCCAGCACTCTTTGGTTCACTTTTAAACAGAGCTCAGAAAACATCCAGTGTGACGGGGCGTGGGGCGGCTGCAGCTGATACACCTGAGCTCAATCAGCTCATCACGCCTCCCCTGCATAAAAGGAGTGGACTGGGTCCAGAGTTATTGTTGTTGCCGCTGAAAAGCTGCATCGCAGGCATGTTTAGACGACAACCAGAAATAAAAGGAAACTGCTGAAAAGTGTTGAAACATGGTTGGATCCATCATGCATCTTTTACATGCAGAAAACAGAAACCCTGGAAGCTTCTATA